GGGGAAATAAAGACGGGAAAATGAGAAAAAATTGACACCCGGGGAATTGCCAATAACTTGCGACTAAGGGACTTACCATTAATAGTCCTAATAGTGTTACAGTATAATCATTCCCAATGAATACTGCCGTCCAGAAAACAAATAATGGTTCTTCTTTACAGATAAATAGGAACAATGAGACTACAATCAACAAAACCGGTCGTTTTATAAATGTTCGAAATTGTGGTTCTTCCAATTTTTTCTATTTTAGTTCTTTCAATTCCTCAAACGGGTTTCAGATAAGCCGATGGAAATAACATTTTCTACCTCTTCACCTCTTGCAGTGCTACTCATCCTGATAGAAAACGATAGAAGTACGATTATGGTACCTATCTTCGATTATGGATCCGTTCACTGCATGAATAATTTTCTTTCGCTATGATAACAGGTCACCTGGAAAGGCAAGACAGATATCACCCACTGCAACTACTTCGTCTACTGAATACACTAGTTCAGAACTATGAAGCATACATTCTTGTCAGCCGTAGGTTTGGGGCTTACTTTTATTATCACAAGGGTGGTCGATGGCCTTTCTGGGTCTGAACTCTATGAATATTATAGACTGCAGACCCCTCTTGTTTCTCTGATTGAGGAGAATAATAATACTATAATTATGGATTACGGGATGAGCGAATCGTTTGTCTCCGACAACATCAGAGCAGAAATCTTCACCGAGGATTGTGAATATCCAGTTCTCGTCGACGGTATAATTTCACAAGCGATTGATGATCAAGGAAAACATTTATTTCAGATAGATCCAAGAACTTTATCAAATAATACGAAGGTCTTCAGCCTTCTAGACGACCCCTACAAAGCCAAAATGAAATTCTGCCTGCGTCATACGTTTTTTTCAGGGCCTGAAAGTGATAACGGATCCATACCAATCAACTATTTGGAATCAATTCTCACGGTCTTTTTTGACTTGAGAGCGGCTGTATACGTAGGTTTCTCTGTAGAACAAAAAGAATTGGATTTTGGTTCAGACAGGAATAACGTAACAGAGAAAGAAGGATACGAGGCCGACGGATACATATGCCATCCGGAAACTTATGAAAGAATGGAGACACCAAAGGAAGGTTATGGTCCGGGAAGCGTCGTTTGCATTTGTGCTGAACTCAACCAAGAGGCAATTGACGAAGGTAGGGGGAGAAACGTTGTACTCGACACCCTATGATGTTGTCGGAAACCTACCATCTCTCACAACTGCAAATCTTACAATTTATGCATTTTTTCCAGGTCTTTATTTGGTAGGACTTACCGAATTTGTATGGATTCGTGAGCGTTATTTGGGTGACGAGTTGATACGAACCGTGCAATATTCCGTAAAAGACGGGGTTGCTGCGGTAGGTGGTTTGACCGAATATGAATGCATTACGGATTATTTTTGCATGTTTAAAACGTTTCTTTTGGCTGATTTCTACATACTGCCTGGAGTTATTTCCGGTTATGGCAGCGTCGCCTTCGCTTTCGGCTCGAGATCAGATAATGAAGTTGGACGAAGAGTATTGGAAACGCATGGTCTTCGATCCTTACAGCAAGAGGCCGAAGATCCAAACTCCGACCTCTTTGTTGCCCTCCCGGTTACAAACAGAAGACCCGAACTGAAGTCAGTTGAAACGGCTGCAGCCACCAATATTTCTTACAAAAGAAGCACTTTGTGGTTCATCGCGTGTTCTGCAACTGGCGCTCTTCTATCTTTTTAGGGACTTCTGTACTTTATAAACCTCCAGCATGGTTCAGATGAAAGGTTTTTAAATGACAACGAATGCAAGATATTGAATAATAATAATAGTACTCATTGAAATTAAAGAAGGTGCTAGTTTGCAGGTGAATAAGATCAATTTTGCTTGATGCAAATTCGTATCCTTCATCGAACAAGTTTAGATTCATCTTTACTGAGAAGAACTTTCTTATCATAACGTCAAATGAGGATTACTGTAACGAACAGTTATTCACTTCCGGTCATTACCAGGTCATACTATTAACGAAACATAATGAAACTGCGAAGACATAGCTCTCTAAAATCCTTCTGCTTGTTGAGCTGCTGATTCTATAAAAAATCACCAGGTGTCCAAAACCAAAGACTTCCATGAATCCCTGATGATTTCCCCTGCCAGTTGGAAGGCAAAGAAGATTCAACATCATCTGCATCTTTGATGTGATTCTCAGCATCCTTTTCTCTTTTATCCCATTCCATGCATAGCTTAGAATACTCTCTGTATGCGTCTCGTAGTTGCAACCTTGACAATGTATCGATGGGCATATCCTTTTTACTTATAGCAGATTGAAGAAGACCTTCCGCCGTGACGGCATTGCCAGCTTGATGATAACATGAGGCTACGACCGACAGTATCCATGACAACCCTTCTTTTCCGACGATGCCTTCCGCATCATAAAAGGCAAGGGCTTTTTTTGCATATTCGGATGCCTTCTTCACTCGATCTGAACGATCTTCTTCGTAGTTGATAACTCCCCACGCTAGATTTGCCTGGATACTTGCTTCTAGCGCATGCGAGGCCGCCACAATTTTCTTGCTACTTGTGCTCTGATTCACCTTTGTCTTCTGTAGTCCTTGAAACAGATATTTAAGTGCAGGAGTCATCGGCACGGAGACGTCGTTCGTATCTTGTAAATACAGATTATAGATTACCTCGGCAACGCCCGCATTTGAGAGGGCAACCGCCTGAGGCAAGGTGTTTTCGGAGGGCGGATGTCGTTCCAAAAATTTTATGGCAACCCCGAAAAAATCTCTCACGGAATAAGCATCGTCCATCGTTTTCATGGCTGCCAATTGCGACAGAGCCTTGCCCGTCATCGCGGATGCCATGTGCAGTTTCGTGGAAGGGAATGTCTCGGTCAAATCATCGTATGTTGAAATGATTGCTTCGCATAACGCTTGCGACTTTTCAAAATCACCCCTCATCCAATAAACTTTTGCAAGAGCCAAGATCGTGTCCTCTTTAAAGTTGTGAGCCGTTTCACTTTCGGAACCGTGCAAGGAATGCTGAAGCTCTTCAATTGAACCTATAGCGTCGTCGTAGAGACCTAGGCGCTGTTGACATTCCGCCAAGAGTGCTTGGACAGCCAAATGTTCCCGTCCTCCTTTGTCAAAGGATGCAAACACTTCCGATGCCCGTTTCAGACCGTCGATAGTTAATGTGGATGGGGATTGATCAGAAACTGCGGCGTCGACTTCCGGTAGTTGGCGGATGGAGGCCAAGACCGGTCGGACCAAACCGTGCTCGAGGCCCAAGTTACTCCTAGCGAACCCACCAAACATCCCCGATCCATTTTTTCTACAAGTTGATGAAAACAAGCGAGATGCTGTACTCCCTTCTGATTGATACCAAGTGGCAAGAGGAGAAATACATCTCGATCGTAGTATCCACCGCTTTCCAACTATATTCAGCATTTGATCACTGATCAATTTCCCACCAAGTATTTTCGACTTTCTAGAATGCTCCCAAGGACTTAAATATGCAAATTACCGCGACCACTCAACATTCCTCTTCGGCAATGAAGATCATTACGACACGAAGCACTGCTCACAACTATCTATTTCAATAGGATCGAAGTGTTCAAGATGTCGCGAAGAACCATTATCGTCTTTTCTCAGCATCTCGATGTTATTAGTCCTATCCGTACGGTACGTCCATACTCCGTCCGTTTTCGATTCGTTGCGCACCCCTTTATCATGAATCATGACCCCTTATTTGTTACCGGCCGGTACTGGTACTCGTACTATGTCAATCCGAAGTACTAGTAGGAGAATTTTCCGCAGGCGCTGATTCAAAATTTTAAATCTCAGATGCTATCGGACTCGTACCGGTTCGACCTAACTGTAACGTTTTTGCGAAGAGCAAAACACTGAAAAACTCGTCCCCAATAAATACCAGTATCTTCTTTTCGGTAAGAGTAGTACGAGTTTTCTTAACGTACCGTACGTATTGTATGCTCATTGAGAGAAAACCGGTAACTGAATTCGCAAACACACAAAACATTTGACGTATTAGCTGTTCATAGTTCACGATACATGTTAGAAACACTCGTTACATTTCAAAACGCTTGTTCCCACTCAAGTTCAGACTTTCGCAGTACAATGGATCGAACAACACCGTTGAAGAGACCACGAACCGCAGATCCATCTCCTACCAATTACAATTACTACGGGAACAGCATTAGCAACGACGAAGCAATCAGAAGGCACATTCAAGAAATACTTACAGAGTTACAACAGGCGATTAGCAGCAAACAACGCGTGCGCGCCCTCCGGAACTTGTTGCATTTCTTACGATACGACCCCTCCACACGGCTTTGTCGATGCCCTGCTTCAACTCTCGAATGTTTTGTTCACGGAAAATGTATACAATTGTTGTGTCTTCAGCTGGGATACGCAATCGGCCGTCATCGCTTTGATCACGGGAATCGATGCGGCCCATGGGGTCAGAACCACGAAATTCTTTTGATTTCGACGGTCCTAGACATTTTCTACCGATATTGTCCAGAGCTCGTCACGGAACATTCCATCCAGAAAAATGGATCGGAGGTCTTGCGCCTCTCACAAGAAGTTTTCATTAATTATCAACGGGAGGGAGTTGGGCAGGACCAAACACAAGAAAAGAGTGGGATGCGCGGCTCTGGAGATTTTCTATCTATTGTGTCGATTTGGCATTCGTGTTCCTCCTGCAGCCTTGGAACAATGCTGTTGCTGCAGCACCCAGGAACTCTAAAAGCGATCAACTACATCCTATCGTCGAAAATGCACCAATCACATCACGATACTAGCAGAATAGAAACGATAATGGAATGCCTGGGACTCCTAAAAAATCTAACATATTTCGGAGAGGACCATCGACAAGAAATAGTCGACCAGACAAATTTGCTCACGACATTGACACGACTAACGGATATTCCCAACAAAAAGACTCGTGAGCGGTTGTCAGCTGTCTTCCGGAATCTTGCGTTGTCGGCTGATCTAAGGTCTCGGCTCACTAAGCAAACAAACGTTCTGGCTGCCATTGTTCGAATGGCGAACTTCGGTTTGATTGAATGCAACAACCTCAATGGTCACGACAGCCACCACGAGAATGCCAACTGCAAGAAGAATACGCTGCGGAATATTCTGAGCACTGTAGCAAATCTCGCAATCGACAGGAGCACAAACCATTTGATGGTCTTTTACGGGGATGGAATACTCATTGAGGAATTGAAACAGTTCTTGGTACAGGGCGAAGATTTTGTCCTTCGGAAACGTGCTTCTAGGGCGTTACGATTATTGGCAAAGAATCCATCGTCGGCCCCCCTCTTGATCATGCAGAATAACCAGCTATTGGAAATTCTGTCGGATCTAGCACTAAACGATGAGAATGATTCCGTCCGTGTGGAGGCCACCGAAGCCTTTGCAGCGTGTGCAGAACTAATTAGAGCGCCCATGACTCAACACAATAATATTCTAGATGCGTTAACTCACATGCTGATCACCTCTACGAGAAGGATATCGCCGTCGAGGGTGAATCTAGATATTGTTGCACGAACTTTACAGGAGCAAGCCAGTCACCAAATCAACAAGAGGGCTATGATCAGGCGAAAAAATTTGCTTGCAGCGCTCGCTAATGTTATTCTTAGCGAACATGCCACACTGAGTGCCAAGGAGAGTGTGAGTGCCACCTTTGTGAATCTCTCTGAGGAAGAAGACAATCAAGAAATTATCTCGATACCCATTATTTTGATTGCGCTGGTGCATATATTGTTAGATAGGCCCAGTGTACTGGATGCCAACAACGCCGTCGCGAATGTCAGGGCCAGTGTTGATCGAATCATTACCAGTCGAATTCGAGAATCTAGCGTCCGAACTATTCTCAATCTTGCAAAGACACCGTCAAATCGACAGGCGATGGCAAAGCAGACCGCATTAATTCAGTCCTTGTTGCGGTTTGCAGCGGCGTCAACAACAAACGATGATTTGAAAAAGCAAGTGAAAACGGTCATACTTCAGCTCGCAGCAGAATTGTAACAATTTCTAACAGTACCCTAGAAATACTACGCCTAAAGTGACAATTGAAATTATATTGATCGAGGCATTGGGAGCGTTAATTTAACATTCCAAACATTAACACTGTAGGCCTGCGTAGAAATGAATACTGGGTTTTGCTTGAATCAAGCATACATTAATGTTGAAATGTTAGCAGGCAAGGATGTTGTTCTCCCTTTTTTTTGGTCCCTTGTGCAAGACTGAAATAATTGTTTTGGGAAGTTGGCACTCTGCCACTTTGAAGAATAGGGATACTAGGATCTACATAGGCCAACGGTGATATACTGACATTCAGAACGTTAATTCTAACATCTGGAATGTTAAATTAGCGTTCCCGATGCCTGAATAAACATAATTTGAATTGTTATTTTACGCATACTACGTAATAGATTTATGGCGACTTAGACCATTATTCCTCCTGTTATAGGGGATGGTCGTGGTGGGCATGATAAGGGTGTTTTAAAGGCAAATAAAGGTTTAGATTGTGTGTGTATTCAAGTGCCAGGGGAAACTTCCAAAGCATACACAGTGTTTTAGCAATTAAACACTATGACTGTGTGCCCAGTCTTAAGCAGTCATTAGCTAGGAAGCTTTCCCAGTCACTCAGAGTCTATAATAGATAGGCCTGCGACCATGACATACCATATTATATGTACATATGTATGCCAAACACACTTTGTATGTTAGGTTGAGTTTGTATACAATCACAAATCAGTCACAATTCAATGAAATGTATGAGTTGTACAAATCAGTCCCAGCATACAATTTGCATGAGTCATAGGATCCTGATCCATTTGTATGTATGATTCAAACATGATTGCAGACTATTGTTACAGTCCAATGTTGTTTTAGTGTTTGATTCTGAGAAAGAGTTTGCCCCAAAATGTCTTTTTCTCTGTTCCCACAACAAGATATAAGAGGTAAAAAAATCCACTAGATTACTCCCCAGCATTATTGGGGAGTGAGAGCTGGAATGAAGATCAGCATCAGTGATACTCTGTAGTGAAAGGTGACTGCCAAACAAGTGGTGTCATCCAATCTATGAATAGCTGAGTGAATAGATGTAGGAGAAAGACGGTTTATGTTGGAGCAAAAGAGATCCTGGGACACAAGAAGCAGAAGGAGAGATGGGTGGGCTCCAGAGGGGAAGTTTCTGTACCACCTTTTGTGTGCTGAAATTAAGGAACTACTACTATGAAAGAACCCTCAAACAGGAGAGCTATTCAAAAAACAGATGAGAGAATGGTTCACAGTGCAATGTAGAAGGAAGAGTGGTTGAGTTGTACCGGTGGCAACTGAATCGGAAACAAAGGTTAATCTTACCATGATTGAAGAGGTTTATGATGTTTGCAAAATGTTCAGGAACCTAACTGATGATCCAATTGACAGTACCAAAAACAACATAATCATGGGGACAGTGCAGACTGTGTTGTCGGAGGAAGTATAGTATTTCATGAAAGCACTTGTAGAAAAATTCATTTATGATAAATAATCATAATATGGTAAGTACTACCTTTTCTAAACTGTGAGGTAGAAATGGAGGCCTGTCATACTGTAAATTCAAAACCATAGGGTAGCAGAATTATTTTTCTGCAGTAATGATTACAATGTGGTTATTTGAGAGTACTACTGTTTGCATGCTTGAATCTAGAGTTTTGATTCTATGAGTTTTATTGATTGCAATCTGACGTGGCTTTTTAATTGCAATTGTCACCTAACTAATCTCCCATCTTTCCAACTAACCACAAAAACCACTCAACCAGCATGGGATTCACTCTCCTCAAAACAACCCATTTGCATCTGGCAACAGTTGGTGTCCCACATGGAAGAAGCCCTCAACAAGGTCCTCCTTTTCATAGGGAATCTCATTGGTAATTGCTGCTGGTGTCTTTGTGAAGGTTGATAGGATCTGGTCAATATGTCCTATAGTAGTACCGCACTGGAAGTTGTACAAGTTGATGAGCAGCAGGTTCATGATGATCCTCCTCCTCTCTCCAAGCTCTTCAAAGATCATAGCATCCTGGATCCTTGGGAACTGTCCCTAGATCATCTTCATTCCCCATTCTGACATCTATCTCAAGGATGCTGTTTCCCTGTTTAACAGGAGGAGATTGTCTTTCATAGGATCCCTCTGTGAGCTCTTGATGAGGCTATGGGTGTCATTTTCCTTCAGTGCAAAGGCAGAATTGACAACAACCTTTGCTCCATTTCACACATCATGGACCTCCTAATCCTTTGGTATACACCATGGTCAGCAATAGCACTGTCATACCAGGCCCCTGGGCAGTTGTACACTGCAATCCTGATTCTTCCATCAGGGGCAAAGGCAAACAAGCTATGAACAAATGTGTTCTCCTCCTTCCAGGTATTGTAGAATGCTCTTTGTTTTTACCAGTCCTGTGATTGTTGGATGATGGTTTTGAGTCCATAAGCTGCACAACAAGGCGTGGATACTTCTTCCCAATTGCTTTAATATAATCATCCACTTCTTTCTTAGTATTTGGAACACTGACCACCATGGTGGCTCCTGGGTGTTTGAGAGGAAGAGCAACTAGTAGGAGCACTCTTCTTGAAAACTTGAGCCACTTGTACACCATCACTGTGGATGTCAAGTCAAATGCCATTGCCATTGATCTGGCAACAGATCCTCTTGTCCTGAACCAATAGAGCACCAGTTCAATAGCACAGACTTCATCAACCTCCATCCTCTTCCCCTTGGGCTTGTTGTCACTGGGATAACAAGCGACCTCAACAATGTTGTTGTTGTCATCCACAGTATACTTGTTGTAAACTGGAGCAAACAGGACAACAATCTCCCTGAAGACCTTGTAGTCCACACCACAGCAATTGAGGAGTGCTAGTACTAGTAGTAGTAGATCAAGCCCAGCAGAGTGGAACATATGGAGGAAGGCGAGAAGGGGGAATCAGCACGGTATTTTTGGATTGCAAGCCAGGGAGTTCTCCTATCCCTCCTACAAGGCTCTTCTGGAGTTAATTTTGCTCCTGCTGGCCATTCAATTGAATGTACCAGTACATCATAATGAGGTGATTCAATCATGAATCCCGCCTTTCAATCATGAATGCCATCCAAAAACTAGCTCAGTAGAACACAGTAGAATTTCTACTACGACATATGAAGAAGTTCTTCCTAATTTCAAATCAAAGTTTAGAACTCGAAGTTGGAACTCAAACTCTTGATTCGCAGGCAAGACACAGAGCAATTGTTACGAAACCCGTACTCGTACCTCGTACGTACTACAGTAAGCATCGCTCGACACAAATCTCAAAAGTACTCGTACTTTCTGTCTCGCACCATTGCATCACAACGCCGTGTAGTATCGCATGATTTCATCTGGTAGTTTCCATCGCCGCCGATCCACCTCCTGGTTTCGTAACTACTACTTTTGTTGGGCGCTTCCACTTCTTCGTCTCTGCCTGACGCCTCGCCATCACCATAATCTCGGACAGACGGTTCTACCCCGGGTTCGGACGTTTGCCACAGCCACGGCATCCTTTCCGTTTTGCATTGCATTTTCTCCTTCCGCAACCAGTACACGAAAGACTTTCACAGCTCGAACGACAGCAACCCTCCGCAGCAGCAACTACTGGTCGGCAGTAGGCGTCCCTCGACGAATCGTCGCCGGCGAACAAGGCGTTGCCCAAACCAGACTCTTCTCGACCGCTCCCGATTGGCCTTCCTTTCGAGTCGTCGAACTGAAGGAAGAGCTGAGGAAGCGTGGTCTCAGGGTATCGGGACGAAAAGCGGAACTTGTGGCATTGCTCGAGCAAGACGATCTCGAAATGGCGCGCAAGAGTGCCCGCACCAGCAGTGGTCGCACGAATGCGTCTGCTGGGGATACCACCACCCGCCAGAGCCCGAGAAAGAAACAAAAAACGACGGCTGCTGCAACGAAAGCGTCTCCCAAACCAACTAGCAACTCGCCGAAGAAAAAGACTCCGACCAAGAAGGCGGCAGACCACCAGCGAATCACGGACATTGACGATCTACCCAAGTTGTGGACCAACGAAATGGCCGAGGCAAACGGGTCCTACAGTGAGTAGCCAAGCGCTCGAATCATAGTTTTGTGTGCTCTCTTCTGTTCTTTTTCATCCTGACAACAACCCCCGCAATCTACCTTTTTGCTGGCATGGTTTCTGTGCACAGCCTTCAAAATTGCATCCTGGAACGTCGCCGGCCTTCGCGCCCTGGTTAAAAAGAGTCCGAACGCTCTCGCAGAGCTCTGCGAGAAACACGACCTAGACATGCTGTGTCTACAGGAACACAAGCTCCAAGAAATGCACCTCGAGGATCCAAAGATGAAACTCAAGGGGTTGCTGGAAGACACCGGCTACGACGAGCACTATGCCTGCTCTACCGCCAAGAAAGGATACTCCGGAACCTGTGTGTTCGTCCGGCGCCGGGGGACAGCCGGAACGGCGAACAAAAAACAGGGCAAGATCGGAAGTTTTTTTGCCCCAAAAACGAAGGAAGCTGCCGGGAAAAAGTGCAAATCCAAAGGTAAAGCTGCGCTACCGGTGAACCCCGAGCTCCTGGTTCCCACGGCCGTGAGTTTTTCGGTGGGAGAAGAGATCGACAACGAGGGACGGGTGGTCCTCCTGGATTTTCCGTGGGCAACGATCGCGAACGTATACGTTCCGAACTCGGGACAAAAGCTGGAACGACTCGATTACCGAACAAACCAATGGGACAAGTTTTTTCTCAAGTTCATGCAGGACAAACAGGCGGAACGCGGTGTCCCTGTTATGTGGCTCGGGGATCTGAATATTGCCCACAAGGCCTATGACATCTGGAACAACGGAGCCAAGCACTTGGCGAAGCAAGCTGGTGTCACGGAGCAGGAACGCCTGTCGTTCGATCAGCAACTGGAGGCCGGATTCGTGGATGTCTTTCGAAAACTCCATCCAGATGCCAAGGGCAATTACTCGTACTGGAGCCAGAGAGCTGGAAATCGGGAGCCTAACAAGGGCCTGCGCCTCGACTATTTTGTGGCGTCGGAAGAAATGTTTTTGGAAGACTCCAAAGTTATTCCACGCGATAGTTACATGATCATGGACCAACTCGGCAGCGATCATGCTCCGGTCGTGCTGGAACTAGAAATCAAAGGTTAGGGGGCTTTTGTCATAGCTAAAAAACAATCAGAATATCGACGGATTTCGTCTTCACTTGTATGTTAGATTTCCGATTGTCTATTTTTTGTTACACACTTGTGACAACTTTATAGACACATTATAAATTTAACCTATGCAGCTGGATCCCCGCGTTCCCAGAAATGGAACTAGCAATTAATTTGACGACGCACTCGGTCACTTATTCGCAATCCGGAAAGAACGAACTTTTGAACGCTTTGCGCTTGAAACAACTAGCCAAACATTGATCGGCGTTGTGAATCATGTCGTAATCCATGCTAATCGCGTCGTCGCCGTCCATATCACATTTTTTCATCTGGACAGAAAGGAATAATCAGAGACAAAGAATGACAACGGAACGCAATAGCGTGAAAAATTGAGCATCATGGGCCGTAAAAAGTCAAAAAGTAACCAAGCTCCAGAAACCTTTGATTTCCCCTACTAGAGCGTGACGAGAAATATTACATCGAAACACATTGCTTACCATCTTATCGACGGATCCGAGAATCTGAAGAATGCCACGGGCATACCAAGGCAACTGATCGATCGCGCCCTGAAGTTCAGAACGATCGAGCTTTCCGTTCTTGTTGGCATCGAGGTGGATCCCGGCACATCGGATGACTAGTTCCCGGGAAGGGCAATTTGGATCTTCTTCCACTTTTGGAGGGGCATCAGCTGCAACATCCGGATTCTCGCACTCTTTTTCTGTGACTTCGTCCGCAACGACCAAGGTTGGTCTAGTTGTGAATAGGGTCACGGCAACTACGAGAAAAAGAGACAAAAATGATTTCATTTTGATAGGTGGTTGGTTCCAAGACAATTTTGTTTTTCGATGTTTCAAGTCCCAAGAGATAATGCACCACCAAGTTGGAAGACAAGACAGATGGGCTTCCAGTCTTTTTGTTATCAATGACGACACTATCATCTAGTATCATCTACCGGTAGAGCAGGAAAAATCATACCGGTCTGTATGATTCGTTCCAAACGGTACGTACCGTACGTACCGTTACTTCACTAGTACAGTACTCGTACTCGTAACATAGATAAACTTTGGATCAACGTCATCATTCTTGCGTTGTCAATCCGTGGAGTCGTGCATAATCTTTTCCTAATTGAGCATCCAAGTACGGGCCCAAAAATGGCAAGATATTGGAATTTCTTCCCTTAGTACAAACACTAGTAGAAATTATTATCTCATTTTGCAGGGCCCTCAGTTAGAATTTTTCTTAAAACAAAATAGTTTCCCGTACACCCCACGAAACAAGGAGAAACAATGAGAATCTTTCTCTTTGTTTAGAAGGGCAATATTCTCATTGTTTCTAATTGTTGTAACAAAGAGAAACTAAGAGAAAATTGCCTCTCCTCGTTTCTCTTTGTTTCACATTGTTTAAATAAGGAGAAACAAAGAGAATATTGCATGGGCAATATTCTCATTCTTGTTTCTCTTCTTTGTTCTTTACTAGTAAGCAGAGTGAATATAACCTGGGCAGTATTCTCTGTATTTTTACATGGTGAAATGGTGGGGGCAATTTCCATTCATACAAAGAGAATATTGCTGGAGCAATATTATCTATGTTTCTTCATGTTTAAGCAACGAGACAAAGAGAATATTGCTTCTCCTTGTTTCTCCTTGATTTTTCAATTTTTTACAAAGAAAAACAAAGATAATATTGTCTGGGCAATTCTCTCTTTGTTTCTCTTTGTTTAAACATGGAAAAAACCTATGGGAAACCCTGATCTTGGTTGGCAACTGTCTTCCTTTAAATTTAACAGAGGGCCCAGGCAAAACCCATTATTTAATTGTAAAGGAATGAAAACCATTAACAAATTAACTCTCAACTTCTAAAAAATTCTGGCCTGGAGAAAGGAGCAGGGCCATGTCAGGATTTATTCAGAAACTGAACCCCTCTTGCTTCTTGTTTGTCTGATTTTTTCAGACATCAAATGCTGATTCCTTGAGTATGAACAACAAGGGTTTGCATGCTGGTCCCTTAAGTATGAGCACCTTAACGGGTGTTTTGCTTGAGTACCAAAGTGTCCACAAGCCAGTCCCTTGAGTATGAGTAAGTTGACAGGTGTTTTGCTTGAGTATTAAAGCCTCTGCATGCTTCTTGTTGTTGTCCTTTGAGTATTGAAGCCTCTGCACGCCACTCCCTTAAGAGTAAGTATGTTAACAGGTTTTTTGCTTGAGTATCAAAGGCTCTGCATGCTCATCCCTTGAGTATGAATGAAAGCTTGCATAAGAGGCATTTTGCTCTGTGTGTTTCTTTATTTCAGAGCAATTTGCAGTTGGGAGAGGTGCAGCATTGGCTGCAATTCCTCCAGTAGTACTGAATTTTCTGTATAAAAACATGTACAATATGTAGGATTTTTACTGTAGTGTTGTAATGCACAGGGGGTATGTGCACAAGGTACTACTAGGCAAGCCAGCCAGCCCTTTAGTTTTGGGAATGACAATAACTTGCCATTATGGGGCTCATACTTGTTAGTACTAGTAGTACAGTACATACTGTGTTGATTGTAACTTGGGCAGTTGTGGATCTGGTCTTTATCACTCTTTCAACACACAACCAAAACACTTCCTTCTACAGTAAACAAACTTGTTTTCTTTGGACTTTCCTTCAGTTGCAGTGAAGTTCTTGGCTGATTTGTTGTCAACAAATCCAGACTCCCATTGATTCCAAATAAGAAAGAAGTTTGAAGGATTCCTTGAAAGGATCGCTTGTTGCTCTTCTCCCTCAGCAGCAGGAGCAGCACTACTACCAGCTCCTGGATTTACAAGATGTTGCATCACTACTATTCTCCTAGCAACTGGCACCATGACAGTTCTATTACAAGCAGCTTGAAGCCTCTCCTGTGTCCTTTGCTTTTGTGAAGAAAAGTCTTTTATCAGCAAGTTCTCCATGTTGGACATCCTTCCTTGTAAATCATGCATCTTTGCATACATCACATTCATCCACTGTTGATGAGGCCTTCTCATTCCTATTCTTGCGTGCAGTAGTTTCATCTAGCTCTGGTTCATACAGCTCATCAAAATGCATCTGCCCATTTCAGCTTTTTGAATAGGATTTGCACCATCATCAACAGCAATACCAGAACCACCATTAGCTCTGGCTCTTTCATTCAGCTGAATAAGTGAAGCCATCACATTCCTTCTGATATCATATGGAATAATGCCTACCAGAGAAGGTTCAAAAGCAGCCCACAGCAGTGCTTTTCCAAGAATGACAGCTACCTTGTTGCCAAATGCAGTTGCAATATTAGGAGTAACATTTTCAATAAGAATAAGCCACTCATCTATTACTCTAGATCCATTTACTGCCTTATAAAGGCAAACTCCATCATAACACAAACTCCTTGCAACAGAAATATCAGGCACAAGTAATTGCATATCAGTATACCAATCTTGCTGTATGTGGTTTCCTTTCCATCTAGCTCTATAATTAACACCATCATCCTTTGGCATTCCTGCATATCTGCAAAGTGAAACTGCATGCTTCCTAACCAAGTGAGTTCCCAACATCCCTGGCTTTTCTTTATTAAATGCACCATTTTTCCAAACATGTCTAGTTAAGAATCCAGAATACTGAGCTTTCCCACCACAGTCAATCTCCTTCTTCACAAATTTCATGTGGGATGTTCTTGAACTTTGTAGATCCTTCAGTAAAAAGCCACTGGCTAATTGCTCCATGTCCATCATAGCACCACTTCTCCAAAAACAATGCTAAATGAAAAACTGCACATGATCTTTGATTCAAAGATCCCATCAAAATCTGATCTGGACAATCTTGTCTGTCTTCTCTCACATTCTTGGACCACTTCATCTCCAAGGTCAAAAATTCAGGGAACCTAGAGCAACCCTTCAAAGAATCTTTTGTTATATGAGCCATGAAGTGCATTTGCTCTACCATCATTCCTATGTATCTTCTATCATTTATCACAGTACCATGTTGCTCCATGAGTTGAAGAAGTGCTTGCAAAAATTCAGTCTTCTTTAGAGATCTGTCCATTCTTGTAGCCCTCTTGCTTCCTTGAGTTTGATTGCAGCAATTGGAATATTCACTTTAGGAGATTGGGTGGGATTACCATGGTCAATCCCTTGAATTACAGTCTGCTTGATAGTTTTGTTTGGGAACAAAATATGAAATGGCTTTCTTTGTGTACTCTACTAGTATGTAATTAGATGTGGTATGAACATAAGTATCATCAGGAGTTGGATCTTCTTTCTTGTACTAAGCTTACAACACAATGAAATTATACACATGATCAGAAGTAAGATTGCAAAACTCAGTATCAGTAAACACATGATCATTTGTATCCTCAGTGCAGGGGATATCTGTTCTATCATCTTCTCTCCCATGTACAAAATCCATGAAGTTAAGGAACAATATTCTGTGGTAAGATTTCCACTGCTCTGGGATATAAACACCTGGTGGTGGTTTGGGAGCCCTCCCAGATTGTGGCCTTGTTGTTGTTGTTGTTGCTTTGCTACTGACACTCTCACTTCTATTGTTAGAGGCATAACCAGCATAATCTTCAACACCAAATTTGTTGTTGTTGTTGTTGTTGTTGTTG